ATCCACTGTTACCAAGATTTTTCAGTATTGTATTGGAAATCCTAGCAACAGCAATAAGAGAAGAAAAAGAAATAGAAAGAATCAGAATAGGCAATTAGGTAATAAAACTATCTCTTTCTGCAGATGACATGATGATATACTTGGAAAATCCCACTCACTTTAGTTAAAATAATTAACAAAGTAGCAGGTTATAAAGTAAATCCACCTAATTCATCAGCATTCCCACATAGCATAAACAAAACCCTGCAAGAAGAAATAGTAAAAGAGATGCCATTTAAAATAACTGTAGACAATATAAAGTACCTGGGAGCACAACTGCCAAAACAAATCCAGGAGCTATATAAATAAAATTATAAAAACTTTTTATACAAATAAAATCAGATTTAAACTGATTTAGAGGAATTTTAATTGTTCCTGGGTAGACAGGGCCAATGTAACAAAAATGACAATTTTATTTAAACTAATTTATATATTCAATGCTATCCCAATTAAATAACGAAAAAATTATTCTACTGAATTAGAAAACAATAACAAAATGTATTTGGAAGAACAAAAAGTCAAGAATGTCAAAGAAACTAATGAAAAACATGTCAAGGAAGGAAGTTATGCAGTGCCAGACTTTGACTATATTATAAGGCAGTAATTATCAAAACTATCCAGTTCTAGCTAAGAAATAGAAAGGTAGATAAATGGAACAGAAGAGACATACAATTTACAGTAACAAATAAATAGAATAACCTTGTATTTGATAGGGGTAAAGACTTAAAGTAGAGAGATAAGAATTCATTATTTGCGGGCAACTAGGTGGAACAACAGATATAGCACATGCCCTGAAGTGAAGAGGACCTGAGTTCAAATTCAACCTCAGACCAAATACTTGACACTTATTATTAGCTGTGTGACCCCGGGCAAGTCACCTAACCCTAACTGACTAAAAATTTTAAAACAAACATTTAAAATAATTCATTATTTGCTAAAAATTCTTGGGAAAACTGGAAAGCAGAATGGCAGAAACTGGGCATAGATCAGTATCTTACACCATTCACCAAGATAAGTGTCAAATGGATACATGAATTAGATATAAAGAGAGATACAACAAGAAAATTACAAACACGAAACGTATCAGAATTATGGATAGGCAAACAATTTATGAATAAATAAGAGGTAACAGTAGTGTGAGGTGTGAAACTGATAACTTTGATTACACTAAATTTTTTAAAATGTATTATTTTCAAGGGGCAGCTAGGTGGCACACTAAATAGAACACTTGCCATGGAGTAAGGAGAACCTGAGTTCAAATCCAGCCTCAGACACTTAACACTCACTTAGCCGTGTGATTCTGGGTAAGTCACTTCACCCCAGTTGCCTTACCAAAAAAAAAAAACCAATTTAAATAAAATAATATTTATTATTTTCCCCAGTTACATGTAACAAGTTTTAATATGCACTTTTTAAACTCTGAATTGAAAATTCTTTCTCTTTCTCTCTTCCCCACCCTCCTACCCCCCCAGTGAGAAGGCAAGCAATATGATATAGGTAATACATTTGTAGTCTTGTGAAAGAAGAGAGACAAAAAAAAAACCTCAGGAAAAATAAAATTTAAAAAGTATGTTTCAATCTGTATTCAGACACCATCAGTTCTTTCTCACAAATGGATAGCGTTTTTCATCATAAGTCCTTCAGAGTTCTCTTGGATCACTCTATTGCAGAGAATAGCTGGTCACTCACAACTGATCATCTTACAATATTGCTGTTAGTTTGTATACAATGCATTTCACTTTGTATCAGCTCATGTAAGTCTTTCCAGGTTCTTCTGAGAACATGCTGCTCTTCATTTCTTACAGGACAACAATATTTCATCATAATCACTTACCACATACCATAATTTGTTAAGTGTTCCCATTTATTTATTTCCTTTTTTTAACTACTGAAACATAAATGTAAATAAAAGAACATATTACCAACTTAAATATTTTAACTTAAATACAAAGGGGAAAAAAGCATGTCATGTGCACAGCAGAATGTAAGATGATTCAAAATATATAGCAACAAATTTCCATCTCAAGAAAGCCTATATAATGCTGTTCATCTTTGGTTTGCTTCCTTGTTGGTTTTCTTTTGTTCTCTGCTGTGCACTTTTTGTTTTTTTTTCCCTCTTTATCTCCCGCCCAGGATATAATTAAGCACAGACACATTTATATATAGATATACACGAACATGCATAAACATACACTTTCTGTAACAAATTCTTCTTCTGATCTTTGGTCTCACGTTTGTGCTACCTCATCTCCTAACCCTCCTACCTCTTCTACTTACTGACATTCCACACCTGCCCCCAATACTTAACCTGTCCATCCTTCAAGGATTGCTCCCTTATTCTCCATTTCCATTAATCTAAAGTAAAAGTAATTAGGCCTTTTTTGTGTGGGGAGAGGATACATTGGTGTCTCTGGCTATAATTCTCTGATGCCCACGATTTCTAGTGTTACAGCACAGGACAAAGAAACCTACCCCAAGGGCTCTGGCCTGAGATGCTATTTCAGGAAAGCTGCAACTTGCACTCACCTTCCCGGGCCCGGGTTTCGGGGCAGAAGCCATTCCCTCTTCCTCCAGGCTGTCCTCCTGGGGCAGAGCAAAGGCCACAGAAGGCAGAGCTGGGGAGGAAAGGAGAAGCAGGAGAGTGAGGGGTCACGCTGGAGGTCTGCCCTGCTCAGACCAGACGTTCTCACTTCTCCAGTGCGGGGAGATCAGGGGCGGGGGCAGGGACCAAAAGGAAGCGGTCATTTCTCTCCCGGGGGGCGGGGAGGCCTTTCTTGAGTCCAGCATCTCCTTACAAAGTGGAGGACAAACAGATGACCCTTTCAACACGGGGAGGGCACGGGCCCAGGCAGCATCAGGGAAGGCTTCCCGGAGGAGGGGCTAACCAGGACGATGCTGAGCGAGGAGTGAGAACCAGAGAGACACACGCCGGGAGCACGTTCCCTGGGAGTCTGGGCAAGGGGCAAGCACAGAAGCCTGGAGGGGCAGACCCTGACCAGGGTCACTGGATGCGGGCGTGACTAAGGAAGGATTAAACACCGCTCCCAGGCTCCGCCTCCGCCCGCTCGGCCTCCAACCCCCACCTCTCCCCCCACCACAGTCCGCCCCAGACCCCTGGTAGTCTCGGGGGGCTTCCTGCCTCCTCTAACGGACGCTCCTCCCATTCTCCGAGTGCTCCCCAGCCAGCCCCCGGTGCGCCGACCCCGCCGCACCCCCGCACCGGCTCCGCCAGAGACTGGCCCCGCTCTCTGTCCCCGCTCACCCCAACACACTTCAGCCTACCACAGAGAAAAGGAGGCGGGAAGCAGCAAGCCTGGAAAACTGGGAGAGAAAAGGAAGCGGAAGTGTCGTAAAAAGAAGGAACTCTCTCCCTCCCGCCCTTGAGCTTGTATAATGCCCGTGAAGTGAGCACGGCTTTAAGGGAATCCTAGTCTGGAAGCTGAGGCGCCTTGTGCGCATGCCTGGGTCTCGTCCCTTCCCCCGGGCTGGAATGCGGTCCTGCATCCCTGCTTGCCCCTCTCCTCACCGACCTTCCTGCCAGGAGCCCCGCCCCCTCCCTATCTCCCCTTACCTCATGACTGACGGTTTTTTGGTAGACGGACTACATAAAACTAACAGCTGACGTTTACTCGGAACTTACTGTGTTCTAGGCACCGTTAAGTATTTTACACTGACTGTCTCACCTGGTCCTCACACCAACCCTGGAAATCAGGTGCTATTATGGTGCCCAGTTTATAGATGTGGCAACTAGGGTGAAGTGACTTGTCTAGGGACACACAGCTAGCAAGTGCCTGAACTTGGATTTAACTCAGGTCTTCCGTAGGCCATACCCACAACTGTATGAAACTCTGACCTGGCAATACCACTACTAGGTCTGTATCCCAAAAGAGAAAAAACAAAAAGCAAAAGGACGTATGTGTTAGAATATATATTTACAGCAGCCCTTTTCTGGGAGTGAAGAATGAGAAGTTAAGGGGATGCCCATCGCTTGGGCAATGGCTGAATGAGTTGTGGTGTGTGATTATGATGGAATATTATTGTAGTATAAGAAATTATGAGGAGATGCTCTCATAAAAACCTGGAAAGACTTGCATGGGCTGATGCAAAGTGAAATGTACTGTGTACAAAGTAACAGCAATATTGTAACATCATCACCTGTGAATGACTTAGCTACTCTCAGCAATACACTGGTTCAAGACAATTCTGTGGGACTTAATGACTGTGGGAAAAACGATATCCGTCCCTAGACAAAGAATTGATGGTGTGTAAACACTGATTGAAGCATATTTTTAAGAACTTTATTTTTCTTGAGGTTTCTTTGTCTATGTTTTTTTTTACAACATAACTATTATGGATATGTTTTGCATGACTACATATGTATAACCTATATGGAATTGCTTGTTTTTTCAAGGGGGGAGGAAAGGAGAGAATTTCAAACTCAAAGTTTCAAAAATGAACCTTGTTTTACATGTAACTGGAAAAAAAAGTACTAAATAAAAGCTAAAAGACAGAGAGATTAATCAGTATAACAAACTGCACACAAAATATACAGAAGCAATCAAGCATAGTAGCCTAGTGTTTGATAAATCCCAGTGATCTATCTATTCGGGTAAGAATTTCCTATTTAACACACACTTTTTCAAAAACTGGAAAGCAGTTACACGTGAACTATTTATAGATCAACTTCTCATACCACATACAAAGATAAACTCCAAATAGGGATATGACTTAGACACAATGGGTGACAGCATACGGAAATTAGAAAATCAAGAAAGAAATTACCTGTCACATCTGGTGGTAGTCCTTCTCCATCAGTCTTGAAAAGGACCAAAACGACATCACTCTATTGCAGTCAAGGTACAGTGTATTCAACTGTGAATGATCAGATCAATATGAGCTTGGAAAGCTCTACCTCAAGTCAGGCACAAATAGTCCATGCGAACATTTGGAGTGGAGATGTCTCTAAATTTGTGCAGTTCACATATCTTTTGAGCTACTGCAATTCTGCTTTGCTCACAGAACACAGTGCCTTCTTTGACAGGGATATACCATGTGGGTTGGTCCTTTGCCAATGTCTCCCATGTCACACAAGTGATTCCGAAGTTCTTCAGAGAGACATTAGAAGTGTCCTTGGTATTGCTTCTTTTGACCTCATGGGAGAACTTGCTTTGTGTGAGTTCTCCATACAATAGTCTTTTAGGTAAACATGGATTTGGCATTCAAAAAGCATGGCCAGCCAATTGGAGTCACACTCTCTGCAGTATAGTTTGAATGCTTGGCAGTTCAGATAGAGAAAGGATCTTAGCGCCGGGTACTTTGGCCACTTCATCTTCAGAATCTTCGAATGACAATTCAAATGTAAGGGATTTGGTTTCATGGCATGGCATTGGTATCCTGTCCAGGATTCAAAGGTATGCAAGAGTGAGTTCAGCACAACAGCTTTGCAGATGTTCAGTTTCTTAGACATTCCAATACTTCTTTTTCCTCACACTTTCTTTATGAGCCTCCCAAACACTGAGCTAGTTCTGGCAATGGGTACGTCAATCTCATCTTCTATGTGTACATCCATGAAAGTACACTGCCAGGGTAAGTGAACTTATCCACAGCATTCAATATTTCTCCATTTCGAGACAGCTAGTGGATAGAGCACTGGCCCTGGATTCAGGAAGACCTGAGTTCAAATCCAGCCTCAGACACATAACATTTACTACCTGTGTGACCCTAGGCAAATCACTTAACATTGCCCAATCAAAAAAATTTTTTTTCTCCACTTGTTATAACCAATGGTTCCACACATGGATTTTGTGGTGCTCGCTGGTAAACAGCCTGTGGTTTTTTTTGGTGTTAATTGTTAGGGCAAAATTAGCAGAAGGGGCAGACAATTGATCTACACTTTCTTGCATCTCAGCTGAGGGGACTGCACTGAGTCCACAATCATCTGCCAACAGAACGTTGCACACCGACTCTCCCTCCACTTTAGTCTCAGCTTGTAGCCTTTTGAAGTAAAATGATTTACTGCCTGTGAGGCAGCTGACCTTGATGCCATTTTTCTCTTCACGGAAGGCATCTGACAACATCACTGAAAACACCCCCTCAAAACTATGGGAGCAAACACACAGCCCTGCTTCACTGTATGGGTGACTGGAAAGCTTGAGATCATCACCCATTATGCAGAACTTTTGCAAGCATGCCATCATAAAATTGGAGAACACTGATAAACTTCTCCAGGTAACCAAATTTTCCCATAATTTTCAACAAGCCTTCATGAGTGACAGAAAATATCAAAGGCTTTGATTGGTGGGACCAATGAACACTGTATATAGACCTCTGTTCTGCTCATGGCATTTCTCCTAGAGCTCTTGGGCAGGAAACACCATGCTGACCATTTCTTGGTCCTTTCTGAAGCCACACTGACTCTCAGGTAGATGACCACCTTCCAGGTAGAGAATTAGCCTATCGAGGAGGACTCTAGCAGGGATCTTCCTGGCAATAACTAAGAGAGAGACCCCTATGTGATTTTCATAGGACAGTCTATTTCTTTTCCCTGTATAGAGATGGACGATGGAGGCATCCTTGAACCCCTGAGGAATTACCTCCCCTTGTCATGTAACCCAAAAAAATTGAGTTAGGTTTTGTATGGGCACTGGACACCTTGCCGTGTAAATCTCAGCTGGAATAAAATAAGCACCAGGCACTTTGCCACACAACAGGAGCCTAACAACATTCAAAGCCACTTCTTCAGTTGGAAATTTGGCTACAGAGAGGCTGACTTCAATGTGAGGTAAATGGTCAGTGGCTTCATCATTGATTGATGGTGGTCTACTGAGAATACTATGGAATTGTTCAGCCTGTCTCACCAAGATCACATCCTTAACACTAATCAATGTGGCTCCATCAGCACTGAGTAGTTGAAATGTACCATAGGTCTTGGCCCATAAATAGCCTTCAGAACATCACAGAAGCACTTTGGATTGTTACTATCAGCATCAAACTGAATTTCATCTGCCTTCTGACTGAGCCAAGAATCTCGCATCTTTGTAACCGTTGCTTGTGCTTTACTTCTGATGAAGTTAAATGCTGCCTTCTTAGAGTTGGATAGTAAACCTGCTGGCAAACCTTATGGAGTTCCAATTTTTCTTTTAGCAGCTTCTGAATTCCACTTCATTTTTCTCAAACCAAGTTTGATGCTTGTGAGAATTCTGGGCCAGATGCATAAATGCAGTGCTGCACACCAAATATCTGCAAGCTGCCCACTCTTTTTTTTGGGGGGGGGTGAGGCAATTGGGGGTTAAGTTACTTGCCTAGGGCCACACAGTTAGTAAGTGTCACGTGTGTGAGGCCGGATTTAAACTCAGGTGCTCTTGACTCGAAGGCCACAGTTCTGTCCATTGTGCCACCTAGCTGCCCCCTGCCCATTCCTTTTCTGCTCCACTATGGCTAACCCTGTGTTGGCTCAGTTTTCTCTCCAAGTTAGCAATGAACTGTCCCCGCTCAGAGAAGGGCTCTAATCTGCTGACATTAAGTCATCTGTTAGTTGTCTTTCCTTGGTATCAGCGCATTTGTGGAATGTGAACATTTAGCATGGAGAGCATAAATCTATATTTAGTGTAGAACTCTGTACCGCACATCCCCTTCATTACTCTTACATCCTGTCTGCCTCTTCTACTCACAATGACATAGGTTATTAAATACCAATGCTTTATATGAGCATGAATTCATGAAGTCATTTTGCATTGAGGTAAATGGAAGACAGTGTTGTTATGAGATGCACACGTCTTCAGCAGTAGGTGACTGTTGCTGCTTTTGACTTCATTTCTCCCAAGGACTCTTTTCTGTGTCTAGGAGTCTGTGCCTACATTTGCACTTAGGTCACCCAGAATTATAAACTTGTCCTCTTTCAGATACGGATGATGAGCATCTCCAGATGTTCATTAAATGTTTCTTTGACCACATTTGGCTTCACTATGGTGGGAGAGTATGTACTGATGAGCATGGTGTAGTGCTTTTCTGCAATTGTATTATCATGAGCCTGTCATTCACTCCTTTTGGGATGCATACAAGTTGTGGATGAGATTAGCTTTCATTGCAAAACCTACACCACCTACATGGAGCTCCCTTTTACTGTGGTCCATCCAGAAAAACACATATCCACCTCTGACTTCAGTAAGTTGAACTTCACTTGCCAGCCTTGTTTCATTCAAGGCTGTCATTTGGATGTGATGCCTGCTGGGCTCTCTCACAATACGAACTGTTCATTTTTCAGGCGTACTGGATTTTGTGTTGTCTGCAATTGTGCGAACATTTCACGTACCAATGGTGAGTGCAATCATTGCAAAAGGTTTTGTCCTTTGTTGTGCTTCAGCCACAGTGTGGGATCTCCATCTGCCTCAGTATGCAGGCCAGGGTTGGGTGAAGAAGACAATGTTTAGGGCACCTATTCTGGGTCCCTTCCTCTCACTACGAGGTGAGCATACAGTCGTTCAAAAAGGCTGCTCAGACACCCAGGGAGCTGCCTGATCCCAGAGATATTTTAGTCCAGTGAGGAGACAACCCCGTGGGCTGGGCCCCCTGTGGGCAGAACTGTGACCATAACTCTTAGGGTACCTGCACCTGCTGCTCTGTCATTTGCCTGTCACCACAGGACTCAAAGATAGGTCAAAATGGTAAAATGGTTGATGTCTTTTGATTCATGCATAAATTCGATTTAAGTGAGGCATTGTTGTGCAACATCCTCAGTCTCTCTCTTCTAGAGTCATCAAAATCCAGTGAGAAGACAAAAGTTAAGATGACTCGTCATGGCCCTGTATGCAGTAGGTGACCTTGGCGAGGGCAATGCCTAACCAGGCTCTAAGTGCCCCACAGCACCTGCTTCAGCTGGCCTTGGGACAAATTGTTTTCATCTGCCCATTTAGCAGAGAGAAGTCTTCACGTGCTTGGGTGAGACACCCCTCTAACTCACCAAAGTGTTTGAAACCCCTCAGTTACACTCGGACCTGTGCTTTAAGAAAATCACTTCAGTGGCTGAATGGAGTGGGGAGAGATTTCAGGCCGGCAGACCCACCAGCAGGCTACTGCAACAGTCCAGGCATGGTAGTGATGAGGGTCTATACCAGGGCAGTGGCAGTGTCACAGAAGACAGAGGGGGTATTGAAGAGATGTTGCAAAGGTGAAATGAATTGACCCTGGCAACAGCTTGGATATAAGGTGGTGAGAAATAATAAGGTATCGAAGATGACTCCAAGGTTGTGAGCCTGAGAGACTGGGACAATGGTGTGTTCCCTACAGTACAGGGAAGGGAGGAGAGAGGAACAGTTTAAGTGAAAAGACGATGAGTTTCCTTTTGGAAGTATTGAGTTTAAGACGTCTACTGGACATTCAATTTAGGTGATTAAAAGGCAGTAGGAGATGCAAGATTTGAGGTTATCAGAGAAGGATAGGTAGATTTGAGAACTGTCAGTATAGAGATGGTAATTAAATCCATGAGAGATGATTAAATCACTCAAGTGAAGTAGTATGGAGGGAGAAGAGAAGAGGGCCCAGTACAGAAACCTGAAGGACACTTGTTTATTGTTGTTGTTTGTCCATTCTCTAAGACGACCAGGACATCTGGGAAGATGATGTCATCATCTGCAAGTGAATTGGATTTAAGTGAGGCAGGGCTGTGCAAAGTCACCCGCCTAAGGCTCTCCTCCAGAGCCAACTGGGTCCAGTGGCAAGATGTAGATCAGGATGACTGGACATGGCTCAGGATGCAGTGGGAGACATTGGCCTTTTTATGATTAATTAATTTATTTTGATATATCAATAATCATTTCCATAAGCTTTTGAGTTTTAAACTTTTCTCCCCTTCCTTCTCTACTTCCATCCCCATGTTGGCATGTGATCTGATATGGGCATGTAATCTGATAACATGAAATATATTTTCACACTAGTCATGTTGCAAGGAAGAATTAAAAGCAAAGAAGGAAATTCAAGAAAGAGAAAAAAAACGGAAGGGAAAAAAAGGAGCAATCAGTATGCTTTGATCTGCATTCAGACTCCATAGTTCTTTCTCTGCACGTGGACAGCATTTTCCATCATGAGGCCTTTGGAGGTGTCTGAGATCCTTGCATTTCTGAGAATGGCTAAGTCTATCAACGTTAGTCATAGCATAATTAATAACTCATTTTATCTTCACACCAACCCAGGGAGATATGTGGTATGAGATATTAACTGTAGAGCACTTAGCACAGTGCCTGGCGTATACTAGGTCCTCTATCCATGCTAACTATTATTATTTTTACTTGTTTGTGTACTAGCTTGTGCTCTACTCAGAATGTCTCCATGCACACTTCTTTTACCTAGTGAGGGGGTATATTGATAATAAAAGGAAGAGAGAGTCTGATTTTCTAATG